TAACACTGTTATAATTTTTTTAGTATAATACTTGTGTGGTGTAGAAGTGAATCATTTACTGCTTGCAAACCAATGATGGTAAGATGATGTCATGGGGTAGGACTGGATAAGTCTGACTTCTTCCTACTCCATTCAAGCATGTACTAGGTATAAGCAAATTGATATTGGATTATGTGTGTTGTCATATCAACTGTTTTTACATGCTTGAAAGAATAAATCAAATCAAATCAAATCTACTGCCTTGTGCAGAAAAAGTAATTATAGTAGGTAACTAACATTCAGGTTACTTTATTGGAACCAAAGGTAGATTAATTTGGAAAACAACAATTGTCAAAACAAAAATAAAACAAATACACAACATATATTAACGCATAAACATAAAGCCATAAGAAACAGGGATTAGTGCCACTTCTTATGAAGGTAGACACTGACGGCCTCAACACTGCATTAAATTCATTATTAGACTCAAAATGTAAATAAATCCACTCACTGTTTTAATCACACCCTTGATCTTACCGAGCTAATGTCTGATAGTTGTAGGCTTTGACTCTTCAACAGGAAAGGCTGATGAAGTTAAAGATGTCGACAGTGAACGCAGCAGTAACATGAGTGTTCAGTCCATGGAGAACAGTGAAAGACTGAAGGACTCAGGTCAAACATACTGCATTTCTCTTTATTTTGTGCTTTCTGAAAAAACTCTGGTTAACTGAAATTTAAATTAAATATATTTATTTGGTGTAGAAAAAATACAGTTTGTTGAATATGAACTTTGTAAATCTGCACAGATTTTTGCAAATGACTTATTAATGTGGAATGGCTAAAAGAGCAGAAACACTATTTTATGTTTGATCCTGCAGGTTGTCTGGTGGCAGATCGTCCTGCTGTAGATGAAGTGGAGCAGAGTGAAACTAAAGCAGAGGTGGGGGGCTCTTCTGATGCTCATTTGTCATTTTCTTACAGCTGCATTTCCTGCTTACAACACAACCTGTTTTTAACACTAAAACCTGTTACATATTACAAACACTACCTAAATTACGTCCAGTGCCGACAACGATGGCGGCCGTGGTTACTCGCGCTCTCTTGTGTTTGTTGTTTTTCTTTGTTTTCTTGGTCTTTTGCAACTCATCCCGGTTTACTTTTACCAGAGAAGAACTGTTAAATATTGGACTCACACCAAACTACCTTCCCCCGACTTTTGTGAACGAAGAATGCTGTATGAACGTTCTGATCGGAGGCGCAGCAGCAATATACGGGACCTGGAAGAAATGCCGCTGTGGAAAGCGGGCAGGCGCCTTTGTGTTCCCTCTGTCATAACCGCACCGACCCCACTCCCATCTATTCACCTGGCAAATCTCCGCTCCCTGGTCAACAAGATGGATGAACTCCTTCTTGTCAAGAGGACCAACTCTGACTTTGCACGCTCTGCTGCTTTGTGCTTCAGGGAGACCTGGCTGAGCAACTCGATCGTGGACATCGCGATACAAGTACTGGGCTTCCAGGTGTTCAGAGTGGATCATGTAAAGGAGTTGTCTGGGAGAACGAGAGGAGGTGGAATCTGCTTTTACATAAATAAAGGTTGGTGCACAGATGTCACAGTGCTACAGAGGACATGTAACACAGACTTAGAGACTCTTGTTATCAACTGCAAACCTTTTTATTCTACCCGAGAATTTAACTCTTTCATTCTAAACGGAGTGTCCATAAAACCACAGGCCAACGGTAGCGCACTACAGCTCCTAGCAGAACTGATAACTAGCCTGGAGCTAGAACATCATTGTTCCACTCCACTCATTGTTCTAGGGGACTTTAACAGAGCATATCTCACCCACGAACTGCCCAAATACAGACAGCATGTTACCTGTCCCACCATGGACAAAATCACACTGGACCACTGCTACACAACAATAAAATATGCCTAACACTCTGTCCCCTGCGCAGCCCTCGGACTCTCAGATCACTGCATGGTCCATCTTATTACAACCTACAGGCAGAAACTTAAAGCTGCGAAGCCTGTGGCCAAAACAGTGAAGAGCTGGACTGAGGAGGCTAAGTCAGAACTACAGGCCTGCTTTGTCTGCACAGACTGGAGTGTATTTGAGTCTGCAGCTACAGACCTGGATGAACTCACTTACACTGTGTTAGGTTATTTTTTAGTTAGATAGATATTCAGAGATTTGTTGTCTATGAATGTTTAGTGTAGCCAGGATGTCTCCTCAGGATGTTAAATGCAAGGTTAGTTAAAAAGCAGAGAAGGGCTCAAGTCAGGGACAAATGTTATTATGACGGTAAAAGTAACCATAATATTTGTCTTAATGTGTAATGTTATGTCAAATTGTTTACGATCCACACCACGAAAACACCAGCCACACACATTATTTTCTTCATGTTTGGTCTACTGCTCTGCTCAGCTGCCAAGCTGGCATATCAGGTGACGTCACGGTT